AAGTTTGTATCCACGGTACTTATCTAGGTACTTGTGAATTTTCCATGCTCCGTAAAGGAGTCTACACTTAATACAACACATGGAAAGTTTGAAAAACAATGGCACCTCTTTTTGATTGCTTGTTTTATGTTCTTTACACTTTTTGTGCTGTACCTTTGCACATTCTTCAGAGTTATGTTTTTCTGGGATCACTATTGGCAGTGTTGTATATATGTATATATATAGATGTATATAGTACCCATAGGTACCATTTTGATTAGCTATCTCCCAAAAGTTCATCAGTTCTTACTGATCCTGTCCCTTTTCTTTTCCTGTAAGTAAATAGCTTTGTGAATGCTTGTTAGTTGCTTAATATACTGTTTCATTTCAAGTTGGAACTGCTCAAGCGGAGGTCCCTTATGGGGGCCTCTGTTCTGAGGTACCGGCATCCTCCTCCCTGATAGCATTTCATGCGGTGATAAATGAGTAACTATGCATTTGCATGCGGTAGCTCATTAACGCAAGTGGAAATGCATCAACCCAGTTAAGGTTAGTAGTAGCACAAATCTTGTTAACTTTAGATTTCAGGCTTAAATTCAGTCTTTCAACCATGCCCTGACTCTGAGGGTGATAAACAGCTCCCAAACGCTGTTTGATTCTCAGCTTTTTCAAAACGCCTTTTTAGATCTTATGAACAAATGCAGGACCATTGTAAGAATTTCTGATGGTATCCCAAATCGTGGGATCACCTCTCTTACCAGAAATTTAACAACTGTTTCTGCACCAAGGTCATTCGACAGAGTTGCTTCAACCCATCTACTGAAGCGGTCAACGACCACTAACATGTAATGCTTGCCTTGTACTGACTTGATCGTGTCAACAAAGTCAATGACCAAATGTTTAAAAGGACCTTCTGGAACTGGAATGTGTCCAATAGGCGATTTTATGGTTTTCCTGACATTGTTTTGAGCACAAATCTCACACTGGCTCAACACTTCATCAACCAATGCTCTCAAATATGGTGACCAATAGCCTTGCTGATTCAATCTATTTACAACTTCACTTTGACCACAATGATCAACACCATGGGATTCTGATATCAACGTTGTCAACAAAGACACAGGTGCAACAATTAGTCCATCATGTGATCTCCATAGGTTATTAGAATCTTTTGTTGCTCCTCTCTGGCACCAAACTTGTTGCTCACTCTGTGTTTCATTACTCTGGATGTGAATGATGTCTTCAGGTGTAATGTCAGGTTCTAATGATATTACAGGTGTCAGTATAGCCACTTCACATCTAGAGGCTGTTTTTGCTGCTTCGTCTGCTGCATTATTACCTCTAATGATGTCATCATTACCCTTGCAGAGCGCTGGGCACTTTATTATGGCTAACTTTAAAGGTAACATCATTGCATAGATTAGTTCAATCATTTGTTTTCCGTGTTGAATAGGGCTTCCATCTGTTTTCTTGAAGCCTCTTTGTTTCCATACGTTACCAAATAGATGGCAAACACTGTGTGCGTATGCAGAATCAGTGTAAATGTTGGCTGCTTTACCTTTGGCTAATTTACAAGCTTCTGATAAGCTTTTTAGTTCAGCTAGTTGTGTAGAACAGGGTTGATCACACTTTTCGGCTTTTGCTGTCTCAAATCTGTCATTTACTTTTGTTACTATAGCATAGCCTGCATTGTTTCCTATGTAGTCTCTGAAACATGATCCATCAACAAAATATGTGACGTCTGCTTCTTCTAATGGAGTAGATTCTAAGTCTGGCCTCAGTTTGGTGTATCTTGTGGCTTCAGCTACACAGTCATGTGGGTTTCCTTCAAAGCTAAAAGGAACTACATTTGCAGGATTTGTCATGAAACATCGCTTTATGGTCACATCAGAATAAGTTAGCAATGGTGTGTATTGTAAGCTCCTTGCAGGTGTTAACACAAATTTTCCTTGATCTATTAGTTCAGTAATTTTGTGGTGTGTGTAAATTACAACTGGATAACCCATTGTTATCACAGATGCTTTTTCATATGCATAATGTAATGCAGCTAGTCCTTGGTAGCAATCTGGCCAACCTTGAACAACATTATCAAGCTTTGTGCTGTAATATGCAATCAGCTGTTTTCGACGCCCAAAACAAGTTTCTTGCATCAACACTGCTGATGCATACTTGTTTTGTTGGTTTGCAACATACAGAAAAAATGGTTTTGTATAATCTGGTGTTGCTAAACATGGTGCAACTTGCATGTCATGTTTGATTGTTTCAAAAGCTACTTTAGTTTTGTTTGTCCACATTAAGGATGATTTCAATGATTGATTCCCTGTTTGTTGTTCCAATTCAATTCAATTCAGTTTATTTATATAGCACCAAATCACAACAAAGTTGTCTCAGGGCACTTTACAGGAACATTCACATAAAAGACAATTAGTAGTTCTCTATCTAAAGAAGCCAGCAGACAAGTTGAATCTTGGCTTCGTTGCAGTCTCCCATCCTGAGCAAGCACAGTGGAGACAGTGGAAAGAAAAACTCCCTTTTAAAAGGAAGAAACCTCCAGCAGAACCAGGATCAGGACAAGAGACCATCTGCTTTGACCGGCTGGTTGAGAGGACAGGAAGGAGAGACAGACCAACACAGAATGGTAGGTCCAGGTATAGGTCCAGGTCCAGGTATAGGTCCAGGTCCAGGTATAGGTCCAGGTGTACCTGAAAGACCAAAAAAAACACATGTTAAGGATATAAGCAATAATTACAAATACAAAACAAGTTGAGCAGAGTAAGTAAAGACAGTAGCAGAGTGAAAAGTGTGGTCAGTTTGTCCTCCAGCAGTCTAAGCCTATAGCAGCATAACTAAGGGACAGCTCAGGAAACCCAAACCAACCCTAACTATAGGATTTAGCAAAAAGGAAAGTCGTAAGCCTAGTTTTAAAACTGGATAATGTGTCAGCCTCACGGACAGAGATTGGAAGTTGGTTCCACAAGAGAGGAGCCTGATAACTGAAAGATCTTCCTCCCATTCTGTTTTTGTAAATTCTAGGAACCACAAGTAAACCTGCAGTCTGAGAGTGAAGTTCTTTGTTAGGAAAATATGGAACAATAAGACCTGTAATATAAGATGGAGCTAGGTTGTTGAGAGCTTTGTAAGTTAGAAGTAAGATTTTGAATTATATTCTGAATTTGACTGGGAGCCAATGGAGAGAAACTAAAACTGGAGAAATATGATTTCTCCCAGTAACTCCAGTTAAGACTCTGGCAGCAGCATTTTGGATCAACTGAAGACGTTTTAAAGAAGTATTTGGACACCCAGATAATAAACCATTGCAATAGTCCAGTCTAGATGTGACAAATGCATGGACCAGTTTTTCTGCATCATCTTTAGATCAGATGTTTCTAATGTTAGTGATATTACGCAGGTGGAAGAAGGAGGTTCTAGTAACGTTTTTAATGTGGGGGATAAAAGACGTGTCCTGATCAAAAATAACACCAAGATTTTTAACATCAGAGCTGGAGAAAAGATTAATGTCATCTAAGGAGGGAGAAAGACAGAAAAATTCATTCTTAAGGTGCTCAGGTCCAAAAACCAAAACCTCAGTCTTGTCTGTTCAACAGGAGAAAATTAAGGGTCATCCAGGTTTTTATGTCTTTAAGACATGCTTGTAGTCTAAGTAGCTGATTGGATTCATTGGGTTTAATGGACAAATATAATTGTGTGTCATCAGCATAACAATGAAAATTTATCCCATGCTGTTTAATAACTTTACCTAATGGAAGCATATATAAAGTAAAGAGTATTGGCCCAAGCACTGAGCCCTGAGGAACTCCATGACTAACTTTGGTGTATGAAGAAGATTTATTATTTATATTTACAAACTGGAATCTATCAGAAAGATATGATTTAAACCATTTTAGAGCCGTTCCTGTAATCCCAATATCATTATCAAGCCTCTGTAGTAAAATATTGTGATCAACTGTATCAAATGCAGCACTGAGGTCTAACAGGACCAGTATAGACACAAGTCCATTGTCAGAGGCCATGAGAATATCATTAGTTCCTTTTACTAGTGCTGTTTCTGTGCTATGATGAGCTCTAAACCCTGACTGAAACTCTTCAAACAGATTATTTCTTTGTAGATGTTCACACAACTGACCTGCAACTATTTTCTCTAGAAGTTTTGAGATGAAAGTTAGATTAGATATAGATCTATAGTTGGTCAGAATTTCTGAATCAAGATCAGACTTCTTAAGTAAAGGTTTAATTACAGCAACCTTAAAGCTCTGTGGTACATAACCATCCATTAAAGACAAATTAAGTAGATCCAAAATGTGGACATTAATTAGTGGAAATACCTCTTTAAACAGTCTGGTTGGGATGGGATCTAGCAGGCATGTGGATGGTTTGGATGAGGTTATTATTTTTGACAATTCAGAGCTCAACAGGACAAAAACTGTCCAAACATAAATCAGGCTCTAGTGAAATTTTTAAAGTTGCCTCATTTGACAGGGGACTAGAGATAGTAGAAGGAAGGATGGTTTGAATTTTCTCTCTAATTGAAATAAATTTATTTATAAAGAATCTCATGAAGTCATCACTACTTATAGTTGTAGGGATACATGGTTCAACAGAGATGGGACTTTTAATTAGTCTAGCAATAGTACTAAACAGAAACCTAGGGTTATTTTTATTCTCCTCAAGCAGACATGTTCCTGTTTTTAGTTTTCTACATTCGCCTTAGAATCTAGCTGTTTGTTTTGTTACCTTTTTCTTTTAGCCATCCTATTTGTTATAAAAAAAAACCTGTAGTATGACTTTTTATAACTTTTTATTGTTGTTGCTGTTGTCCATTGTTGTCATCATTCTTTGTTGAAATCAGGTCTCTCTTGTAAAGGAGTCCTCGAGGCTCAATGGGATTTACCTGTCTAAATAAAGGCTGAATGAATGAGCCATCAAAGAGCCGCAGGTTCACCAGTCCTGATCTCGCCTGTGTGTTTTCATGACTGTGTGTATTTTTTGTTTGTGTTCTATAGGAGTTGGCAGGCACAGTCTGTAGACAGCGGCTGCAGTAACAGCACAGCATTTACATCTCCCTGCTCAGAGGGTGTGTGTGTGGAAGGTCTTTACCCCACCACCGGGGGGCGCTGTGATAAAACACTGAGCAAACTCTCTGCAATTAAGGTAAAGTCTTCAGCAGCTGTTTTAATCTTTAGAAAGAATTAAGTTTTCAAGTTGCCACTAACAAATTATTTCAGGTTGAGAAGGCCACAATGACAGAAGGCCCATTCCCGGAGCCAGTGCAGGTCTGGCCTAAAGAGAGGGCGGGTCGCTGGGGCTACGCCTCACCCTTTATGCGTGGAAGCACCATTGTTCGCTCTCAGACCTTCTCACCTGGCGCTCGGAACCAGTACGTCTGTAGGGTGAGTTTAAACTCAGAATTTTGTTAATTGGTTTTGGTTTGGTGGTCTAAAACTTTGAACCTTTCTTGCAGTTATACCGCAGCGACAGCGACAGTTCAACTTTACCAAAGAAGTCACCGTTTATCAGAAACACATTGGAAAGAAGAACATTGCGATATAAGCAGGCAAAACTCATTTATTTTGGAGAGTCTTTTGAGGTTATGTCAGTTGATTGTATGTTAGATGTGTATTTGTGTGTGTGAGCAGCAGTCGTACCGCTCCTCATTGGCTGAGCAGCCGATACGCACCTCCTTGGACCTGGAGCTGGATCTTCAGGCTTGCAGGACTCGTCAGAAGCAGCTGATGGAGGAGCTGAGCTCCCTGAGAGAACTCAAGCTGCGACTAGAAGAGCCAACGTCCTGTGAGGCCACTGAGCTCCCCAACTGGGCCCTGAGGGACGAACGTTTCTGCCACCTGCTCAGAGAAGCCCAGAGACAGGTAGAAATGTTGACAACTAGTTCAGGTCAGCCTCGTCCCGCAGCAGCAGCTGACTGTTCTGCCTCTCCACAGGCCAACCAAAGCAAGCAGGATCAGCGTCAGGAGGAGGCAGCAGAGAGGAGGCTGAGGAAGGCTTCCAAAGAGGTTCTGCAGATGCGAGGACAGAGCCAGAAGGAGCCTCTGCCTGTGCAGACATTCAGGTGACCTGGAACCTTTTCACTAGGGGTGTACAATAAATCAGCCACAATTTCCTTAATTTTGGGTGATCGGCGATCATCTGATACTTATATAAGAAAACGATTTTTTGTAGTTTCAACAACAATTGTCTAAACGTCATTTATATTTCAGAGCACTACCTCATGGCCAGTTAAAACAAGTTTATATTATTTCTAGGATATTGTTCAAGGGTATATCCTGATGCATGCTCAGTAATCCAGGTAGAAAAATCTAACAGAGTTAAGTCAGGTCCTCTGGACATTCAAAAAACAAAACAAAAAACAACAAAATATGTAGTTAAGCTGAAGCTAACTCTAAGTTATCAGATGTTTGGATTTTAACAACAGCTGATGGAGTTCCTTTAGAAACTACCCTGAACTTTGAGAAGGGGATCACTAAACACTTCTGATCAGCTGAGTATCCATCATCATCCATACATGTTGAAATGGGGGGGAAATATGCATGCGTTTTTGTTTCAGGTTACCTTGGATGGACCAAATTTACGAAAAATCATGCATTGTGGGAACCAACTGCTCTTTATGGCAGAGGTGTCAAACTCATTTTCGTTTTGGGCCACATCAAGCTCATGAATGTCCTCAAAAGGCCGGACATGGCAGAATGTATTGATAAAACTACCTATTAACAAACTGGTAAAGTATAACTTTCTCTGCATTCAATGACTAGTTCTAAAAATGAAATATTTTATGTTTGAGTAATTTGGCATTATAACTATAAAAACTGATTTGATTTGACTGATAAAGTAATATTGAAGCATACAACTGTTACCTTGAAGTTCTGTTTCTGTGGCCCTCTAGGGTGTAGAGAGTCACAACAATGGTTATGGCAGAACGGATTAGGCTCACGGGCCTTGAGCTTGACACATGCGCTTTATGGGGACCAAAGGAGAAGTCTAGTTGGGGGGTTGGGTTTAGGACTAAGGTGTGAATTGCGAATGGGTTATGGTTAGACATATACTAGTAATGGTTAGCTTTAGAGTAAGGGTCAGGGTTAGGCTATAGAAAATAAATGGAAGTCAATGCAAAGTCCCCAAAAAGTACGTTTACAAGAACCGAGGCAGCGAATACAGCTGATTTGACAGTTAGTCCTTTTATTAAGCAAACGTTAGACTGAGACACACCTTTACTATAATTTTGAGCAAACAAATAATTGTTTTTAGATGTTTATCTTGTGTGTGTGCTTATCTTGTTAAATTTCAAAGAAATGTGGAGGCTCGTACCTCTGCGCGTACCCGCCACTTTAGCGGCTTGGGTTTTGAAATACAGAGGATTTGATCGTCAAAGTGCATTTATTAAGCAAAAGTTAGACTGAGACACACCTTTACTATAATTTCGAGCAAACAAATAATTGTTTTTAAGTGTTAATCTTGTTAAATTCTTGTTAAAGTCCTCCTATGAACGCTCCCGCAGCTGCCATTTGGCAGCCCATCGATATTTGGCACAACACCGGCCCACATTTCCGGGTTCGGCCCACATTTCCAGGTTGTCAGCGGTGATGCGTAACACACACGACACGTCAGCGGGAACACATAATAGATGTAACATATACGGCGAAGCAACATATTTATGTATTTTTCCACTATTTTAGACATATTCAATTCAGTTCAATTCAGTTTATTTATAAAGCGCCAAATCACAACAAAGTTGTCTCAGGGACTTTACAGGAACCTTCACATACATAAAAGCCAATTAGTAAAGTTCTCTATCTAAGGAATCCAGCAGACAAGTTGAATCTTGGCTTTGATGCAGTCTCCCATCCTGAGCAAGCACAGTGGCAACAGTGGAAAGGAAAAACTCCATTTTAACAGGAAGAAACCTCCAGCAGAACCAGGCTCAGGACAAGAGACCATCTGCTTTGACCAGCTGGTTGAGAGGACAGGAAGGAGAGACAGACGAACACAGAATGGTAGGTCCAGGTATAGGTCCAGGTCCAGGTATAGGTCCAGGTGTACCTGAAAGACCAAAAAAACACATGTTAAGGATAGAAAAAATAATTACAAATACAAAACAGGTTGAGCAGAGTAAGTAAAGACAGTAGCAGAGTGAAAATTGTGGTCAGTTTGTCCTCCAGCAGTCTAAGCCTATAGCAGCATAACTAAGGGACAGCTCAGGAAACCCAAGCCGACCCTAACTATAGGATTTAGCAAAAAGAAAATCTTAAGCCTAGTTTTAAAACTGGACAATGTGTCAGCCTCACGGACAGAGATTGGAAGTTGGTTCCACAAGAGAGGAGCCTGATAACTGAAAGATCTGCCTCCCATTCTGTTTTTGTAAATTCTAGGAACCACAAGTAAACCTGTAGCCTGAGAGTGAAGTGCTCTGTTAGGAAAATATGGAACAATAATATCTGTAATATAAGATGGAGCTAGGTTGTTGAGAGCTTTGTAGGTTAGAAGTAAGATTTTGAATTCTATTCTGGATTTGACTGGGAGCCAATGGAGAGAAACTAAAACTGGAGAGATATGATCTCTCCCAGTAACTCCAGTTAAGACTCTGGCAGCAGCATTTTGGATCAACTGAAGACGTTTTAAAGAAGTATTTGGACACCCAGATAATAAACCATTGCAATAGTCCAGTCTAGACGTGACAAATGCATGGACCAGTTTTTCTGCATCATCTTTAGATCAGATGTTTCTAATGTTAGTGATATTACGCAGGTGGAAGAAGGAGGTTCTAGTAACGTTTTTAATGTGGGGGATAAAAGACATGTCCTGATCAAAAATAACACCAAGATTTTTAACATTAGAGCTGGAGGACAGATTAATGTCATCTAAGGAGAGAGAAAGACTGAAAAATTCATTCCTAAGGTGCTCAGGTCCAAAAACCAAAACCTCAGTCTTGTCTGTTCAACAGGAGAAAATTAAGGGTCATCCAGGTTTTTATGTCTTTAAGACATGCTTGTAGTCTAAGTAGCTGATTGGATTCATTGGGTTTAATGGACAAATATAATTGTGTGTCATCAGCATAACAATGGAAATTTATCCCATGCTGTTTAATAACTTTACCTAATGGAAGCATATATAAAGTAAAGAGTATTGGCCCAAGTACTGAGCCCTGAGGAACTCCATGACTAACTTTGGTGTATGAAGAAGATTTATTATTTACATTTACAAACTGGAATCTATCAGATAGATGTGATTTAAACCATTTTAGAGCCGTTCCTGTAATCCCAATATCATATTCAAGCCTCTGTAGTAAAATATTGTGATCAACTATATCAAATGCAGCACTGAGGTCTAACAGGACCAGTATAGACACAAGTCCATTGTCTGAGGCCATGAGAATATCATTAGTGACTTTTACTAGTGCTGTTTCTGTGCTATGATGAGCTCTAAACCCTGACTGAAACTCTTCAAACAAATTATTTCTTTGTAGATGTTCACGCAACTGACCTGCAACTATTTTCTCTAGAATTTTTGAGATGAAAGTTAGATTAGATATAGGTCTATAGTTGGCCAGAATTTCTGAATCAAGATCAGACTTCTTAAGTAAAGGTTTAATTACAGCAACCTTAAAGAACTGTGGTACATAACCATCCATTAAAGACAAATTAAGTAGATCCAAAATGTGGACATTAATTAGTGGAAATACCTCTTTAAACAGTCTGGTTGGGATGGGATCTAGCAGGCATGTGGATGGTTTGGATGAAGTTATTATTTTTGACAATTCAGAGCTCAACAGGACAAAAACTGTCCAAACATAAATCAGGCTCTAGTGAAATTTTTAAAGTTGCCTCATTTGACAGGGGACTAGAGATAGTAGAAGGAAGGATGGTTTGAATTTTCTCTCTAACTGAAATAATTTTATTTATAAAGAATCTCATGAAGTCATCACTACTTATAGTTGTAGGGATACATGGTTCAACAGAAATGGGACTTTTAATTAGTCTAGCAATAGTACTAAACAGAAACCTAGGGTTATTTTTATTCTCCTCTATTAAAGATGAGTAATATAAAGTTCTAGCTTTACGGAGAGCTTTTTTATATGTTAGCAGAATATCTTTCCAAGTTAAATAAAATTCTTCAACATTAGTAGAGCGCCATTTTCTCTCCTGGTTTCTAGATGCTGCTTTAAAGTACGTAACTCAGAATTGAACCAAGGAGCCAGTTTCCTCTGATTGATTACTTTCTTTTTCAGTGGAACAATTTTATCAAGTGAAGTTTGCATTGAAGTTGTAAGATGATCAACTAGATGATCTAAGTCTCTGTTCTCTGATGCATTACTCTGCAAGACAGAGGAAAACAATGATGGAAGAGATTGTTTAAATTTGGTTACAGCATTTTCTGATAAGCACCTGCTGAGATGAAATTTACTCTCAGTGACTGTGGAGTCATTTAATGTAAACTCAAAGGTTATTAAAAAATAGTCAGACAGAATAGGATTTTGAGGAACTATTACCAAGTCCTTAATCTCTACACCATAGGTCAGAACTAAATGAAGAGTGTGATGATAAGAATGAGTAGATGTGCGGACGTTTTGGGTAAAACCAAATGAGTCTATTAAATTATTAAAGGCTATGCTTAAACTATCACTCTCAACATCCACATGAATATTGAAATCACCCATTATGATGATTTTATCTGTATTTAATAATAAGTCAGTTAATAATTCTGAGAATTCAGACAAAAACTGAGAGTAAGCGCCTGGTGGACGATTAACAACTAGTAAAAGAGGCTTTTCTGATTTCCATTTTGGATGAGAAAGACTGATGGACAGCGATTCAAAAGAATCATAACTAATAACTGGTTTGGCATTAATCAATAATCCTGACTGAAAAATAGAAGCTACTCCTCCACCTCGGCCAGTTGTTCTAGGAACATGAACATTTAAATAATTAACAGGAGTGGATTCATTTATACCAACAAAATCCTCCTGTTGTAGCCAAGTTTCTGTCAGACAGAATAAATCAATATGATGATCAGTTATCAGTTCATTAACTAACAGGGATTTAGAGGAAAGAGATCTGA